CGGGCACCATCACAGCAGCTGCGTCGCCGCCGCGGCGCTCACGATGCGGATGGTCTTCCCGCGCCACATCGTGATGTAGCACACCGCCCCCGCCGCCGTCATGCAGGCGCTCATGAAGACGCACACGTACGAGTAGTTGCCGTAGTTGCGCTGCTGCAGCTCCGCCTGAATGGGCGGGGCGGAGAAGCCGCCAACGACGCCGGCGAGGAAGACGGCGCCCATGTAGAAGCCGAGGTTCGGCCCGTACAGCCGCTTCGCAATCAGCGCCGGCATCACGGCGAACATGCCGGCCATGCAGAAGCCGATGACGCACAGGAGAAGAGCGAAGGCGATGTAGGTGCGGCAGAACGCGAGGAAGCCGCAGCCGAGCGCGCCCACGATGGCGCACAAAACGTAGGCGAACTCGTCCGTCGTGAGCGTGGCGACCCACCCAACAAGAACAGAGCCGATGATCTGGAACACACCGTAGAAGACAAACACGGTGGAAGCGGTGTCGGTGGGGATCGGCTTCTCGTCCGCATAGACGGTGCCGGGCTTGCCCATCGATGATATATACGGCACGGCGATGTAGATGAGCGAGTAGAAAGCCCAGCTGAAGATGAGCCAGCACATAAAGTTACCCATGAAGGCGACCGTGAATATCGACAGGAACAGCTCCCACGGCGTGAGCTTGTGCGTGTGCAGGTTACGCGGCGTCATCGTCTGCATATACTCCACCACCTCCCCCTCTTGCTCCGCTTCCGCTTCCGCTTCCGCTTCCTGCTGGGATGACCCCTTCTCTTTCTCTTGGCGCTGCTTTTCCTGCTTCGGCCCCTGCTCCTGCTGCCGGTCATCGCTCATCGGCTCCTCTGTGGACGCTGACGGTGCGTCGGGGTGCCGCTTCGCCGACAGACACGTCGCCACGACGCCGATCGCGCAGAACGCCGACATGAGACGGAATGTCTTGCGCCAGCCGTACATCACGACCCACTTGCCTGCGAGCGCCGGGATGATGGCGCTGCCAACGCCGCCGCCGCTGAAGTTGATGCCCATCGCGAGGCCCTGGTAGCGGCGGAACCACGAGCTCGTCGCGGCCGCGCCGGGTGACAGCATGCATGCGGAGGAGATGGACGCGAGCAGGCAGTACGAGAACGTCACCGCCGTGACGCTGCCGGCGAAGGAGGAGCTGATCCACAGCCCGGCGAAGAGCAGCACCGTCGACGTGGCCATCATGAGACGCGGCGGCACACGGTCAACGACGAAGCCGGCAAGCACGCCGAAGAGCGGCGACAGGCCGAGCGAAACGGAGTTGCCGAGACTAATCGCCGTGATGGACGGGTAGCCGAGCGACGCGTCGTTGTGCATGTCGTCAGAGAAGATGGAGTAGCTGTTGTCGATGCCGTACGACATGAGCTGCATCATCAGGCCGGAGAGCGCCACGAGAAACCCGAGCGGGTGGTCCACAGGCTTGCGTGTGAATCGGGGCAGCATGTTTCACTTGAATATGACCGTCGGCCTCTGGGCGTATGTATTGGTTTCACCTCTTCCCTCCTTCCTTCTTGTTTTGTTTAGCGTAATCGTGTGAGACACGGAACCTTCTTGCTTCTTTCGTCGCGTTCGTTCTCCGCGTGCGTTGTGTGTGGATCGCAGCAGAAACGGCGGGAGCAGCGAGAGGCAGAGAGAGAGAGAGATCGACGAAAAAAAAAGGAGTGAGAGTGGTAAGCAAAGCAAGAGCTGTGAAGCAAAGCGGACCCCCTGCACCTTGCAGGTATATGTATATATATGTATATATATATATATTTATATATATATATGTATATATAAATACCCACACACACACACACACAGACTCATTCATACTGCGTACGCACATTCACGTATATCTCTGCT